TCTCCCTCCCTCTTTCTGCCTCCCCCTCCTGTCTCTGCCTTCTCACTCTTTCTTTCTACCTGCCTTTCTCTGACTCTACGTCGGGTCCTCTTTGCGGCTCTTCCCCAGTTGGGTTTTCTCATGAAGAAGAGGCCACCACACTTAACGGGAACACCCACCGTGTGCTCCTCTTCCAGCTTTTCCATTTATTCCAACCTACCCATTTTCTGGGGAAACTTCATTTCGAAGAGCCAGGTAGCGTTTTTTCTGCTTGACGGTGCAGAGGTGCTTACAGAATCTTACAGTGCCGCCTGGCCTCGGCTCGCCCCCTCGCGTTTCTCCCCAGGGTGTTCGTGGACTCCAACTGTCCCACTTCCCAGATCAAGGCCCTGCAGCCTTGGAGCGGGCACAGGCAGGAAAACAGGAAAGCTGCTGTGTTCTCACAAGTGTGCAAGCCGGGCGCGGTGCTCTGCTGGGAAACGGCGGGATGGGAAAAACGTAGGGTGTTTCCCTGAGGGGAGAGGGCTGCGCAGATCGAGGGGAACGGAGTTCCCTAGTGAGTGAAGCTCTGATGGCTGAACTGAGGGGTTGGGTGACGTCTAGGGGGCTCGGCCGCTCCCTCCCTCCCGCAGAAATAATTCAACGAAACTGCTGGGGATTCACCTCACGGCCCTCTGATCGGGCGTCTTTGGAAAGTCTCAAACAACCAAATGAGTTACTGTTATTTAAAATAATTGAGGAATCTGGCTTCTTTCTAAAAGAAACCGCTATATACCTTCCACTCTCTAAAGCCAAATGCTCTATGATCAAACGTATTTAGGTGTCTTCATTCTCCAGGAAATGGATCAGTCTATTAATGCATAGTAATAATAACTATTTATTGTTTACTAACTAGTTTTATCATTATTATATTAGAATGCCTTGATGGTTTAAAAATAGCACTTGACTTAGATTTTCTTCTGACAAAGAACTTTAAACCTTAAAACATAATACCTGGAGCTGGTCTTTTTAGTATATGAAACATTGCTGTGTCTGGGGGTGGGATTATGGTCTTTCTGCTGTTGTTTATCTGGGGGTGGGATTATGATCTTTCTGCTGTTGTTTATCTGGGGGTGGGATTATGGTCTTTCTGCCTCGGTGCGTCTGGGGGTGGGATTATGTGTCTTTTTGCCTGGAGTTGGTCTTTTACTAAAATATATGAAGCCCTGGTGTGTCTGTGGGTGGGATTATGGTCTTTCTGTTTTGGTGTGTCTAGGGGTGGGATTATGGTTTTTCTTCTTTGTACTTCTTTGTTCACCATTCTGGGCATGTGTAAGATCAGAATGAAAGGGAAATTGATGGCTGAGTGATGACAGTTTTACCTGGGATTATTACTTTGACACCATGACTGGTGTCCCCACATGATTAAATGGAACTCATCCTTCTTTTTGGGCATGCCAGGCCCTGCTGGCAGGAAGATGGTCTCTTGGAACCTTCCCGGCGGTGTCACCGCCCGTGCTTTGTGACATTTCCCTTCCTGGCTCTTCAGAGTAGAGGAAGTGGTCCGAGGGGCAGGTAAACCCTGGCCTCCAGCCTCGCACCTCTTCCAGGTAGGCCCAGGCATGGACACAGGCTCCTGTGGTTCAGCTCCTCCAGCCAAGGCTGGGGGTGGGAGCCAGGAAGGGGACAGCTGGTCAGGTGGGAGAACTGGGGGCTAGTTGGGGAGTGACAAGGAGATATTCTGAGACACTCTAGATGGGCTGCACCTGGGGAAGACTAGAATTAGAAAATCCACAAGCACGATAGCACAGAGGTAGCTGTTGACCCACTCATCTTCACGTCTCAGAACTTCTGGCAACTCCCAGTGGGAGAAGTGCTGGTGAAGGATGACAGCTGTGCCCTGATGATTAGCATATTCATTACGTTGACAAAGTCCCGTACGGGAGCCCGTGTACCATGCCTCAATGGACGGTTATCACAGTCTCAAGATAACTGCTATGGCGTCTTACAGCTAACACTGCCCTGGCGATCAGCATATTCACACTGACAAAAACTTGTAGGAAAGCTCACGTATCGTGTCTCACTGGATACTTACCACAATCTTGAGAAGTGGGTAAGCAGGTGGTTCTCATGATTTCCATCCTACAGCTCAGGAGACTGAAGTGCCTTCATTCATTCCACACTAGGAGATGTGTCTGTGTCCTCATTTGGGCACTGGGAACCAGAAACAAGATAGGCAGAGCTCTTGCCTCTCATGGGGTTCTCTGCTCCCAGGCTCAGAGATCAAACGGCTGCTCAAGGCCACACAGTGGGTCTGGATAGACCCAGAATGGTTTGGGTCCAGTCCCTGTAAGCTGCCTCTGCAATAAACTTACAGTAGATATTTTAATTAATAGGGCACTTAGGAACACTTTAATTTTAACAGTGCACATAATAACAGTATTTCTGCTAACAGGACAGGAAATTCAAGAAATTATTCAGGTGATTTCAGTTATCTTTCTCCTAAGTGGAACCCCCTTTCTTTTGAAAGACCTTAAAATGCTTATATCTTACGGTAATTCTAAAGATATCGGCCAGGTGCAGTGGCTCATGCCTGTAATCCTACCACTTTGGAAGGCTGAGGCAGGTGGATCATTTGAAGTCAGGGGTTTGAGACCAGCCTGGCCAACATGACATAACCCCATCTCTACTAAAAATACAAAAAATTAGCTGGGTGTGGTGGTAGGCACCCATAATCCCAGCTACTTGGGAGGGTGAGGCAGGGAGAATTGCTTGAACCCAGGAGGCAGATGTTGCAGTGAGCTGAGATTGCACCCTTGCACTCCAGCCTGGGCAACAGAGCGAGACTATATCTCAAAAAAAAAAAAAATCCCACCTTCTTTTCTTGAGTTGATTTTTGTCTTATTTTTATGCTGTGTCATGTATTTATAAAATGTATATACGGTTGGGACTCTTCTTTTTGCTATCTCTATTACACCTGGAGTCAGAATATTACCATTGCGTAGTTGAATGAGATTATTCAGAACCATTTCTTCCAGAGTCCCATGTAAGTCCTGCTGTGTTTCTAGACCTGTATTAATCTAGGAATCTGCGATAAAAATGCTGATAAAAGGGTGGCTCATACCTTCTGCTTTTTATTATGCAGCAGATACAGGGAGAAGTCAGACTCAGGAAAGAGGGGTAAACAGCAAAGTTAGGTTGAAAACGGTTAGTAGGAGGATTTGTGTGATTTCAGAGGAGATGTGTCCAACACTTCGCTTAGTAATTAGCAAATCAACATGTTACCGACTGACTAGACAAGGGCAGATAACCCAGTGGGTCTTGCTGGGCCCCCACTCTTCATGCCAATGAAGCAAACAGAGCTTCCGGCTTTAAGAACCAGAATGGAGTCAAGGAGGTCCTGACAGACAGCCATCCACAGGAGGCTGGGACAGGAGCCCCACGGAAGGTTCTACCTCTGGCTTGCTGGGCCCCCACTCTTCATGCCAATGAAGCAAACAGAGCTTCCGGCTTTAAGAACCAGAATGGAGTCAAGGAGGTCCTGACAGACAGGCATCCCCAGGAGGCTGGGACAGGAGCCCCACGGAAGGTTCTACCTGTGGCTCGAAGCAGACGCTGAGTCATCTGGTCAATTACTTGGAGCATAATGTTACATGTGTGCAGGGCATTTAATTAAGAAAAAGCACACAACAAAATCCTTTAGGAGAGCATTTGTCTGATAATTTTCTCAAATACTTAGTGCCATAAAATTTAGTTTTAGAAATCCTATTGCTCTTAAAACACATGAAAACAGTCAAAAGATTGGAATGAGACCTGAGGGAAAACAGGAAAGGCACCCGAAGGGGGAATCGCGTGAGCCGAAGACACCTGGCATTTGGCTGCACTGGCAGGTGCTCCGTGGAGGCTGGTGAGGCGACCCGGAGCCTCTGGTCACGACGGAATGAGATCAGGAAGTCACACTGCTCTGAAAATCCATGCGCTGCCCAATCCCAGGATGGTAGGACTGTCGTTAATAGGATGATTTTGTGTCATTCCACAATGACAGCTTCATTAACTTCCAAAATGTGGAATTGCATATATTTTTAAATTTTGTGTCCATTTTTGAAAAGTTTACCTACCTTTCTAACATGAATCAACCAGAACAGAGTTTCCCCCACGGGAGGTGCCTTCCTTCCTCTGCCCACTCGCTTCCAGCTGGCTTTGTCATTTCCCGCCTCAACTTCCCGACGGAGACGCCGGAGCTGCCGCCATCGTTCCTGTCTCTCGGGGAAACGACCGTGAACATATAACCTTTCAGGTTTTTAACAAATTGCAATATTTCAGTGAAAACTCTACTATAATATTGGGGTCCTACTTTGAGAAAAAATGCTTTAAAAAGAACATAGTGCATTGAAAAAAGACCATAAGATTTTATACCTACTTGTTAATTTGGGTTACTGTGAATTTAATTTTCCCTTTTGTATTTTTCAGTATTTATGAGTGGTCTATAAAAAATATTGCTCTTGTGAGCAGCATAAAAATCATGCTTTTCAGCATAGACCCAGAGTCTTCCTTTTCCTTGTAAAAACGTCATTATCACCTTCCTAAGTTTTTCCAGCCCAAAGAGGGTTGGTTTTTAGTTCACAAATAGCACGAGGGACGCGGGGAGGCGGAAGGAAGTCTGAGGCTGAAAAGCCAGGAACGCAGAGGCAGAGCTGGAGGAGGCCTCGCGCGTTCCCGACTGGCAGGTACAGCGTCCATCCCTCGTGCAGGGCAGGCGTCGCGTGCTCGGGCCTCGCTCACCCGAGGGGAGTGTCCTCCCCATCTAAGGACTAGAAGGGACGCGCTCCACGCGCACAGGAAGGCAGGCGTGGCCTGGGATGGGTCGGGCGGGGCGTGGGCGTGGCCTTGGATGTGACCGGCAGGGGCGTGGGCGTGGCCTTGGATGGGACGAGCAGGGGCATGGGAGTGGCCTGGGTGGAACCGGCAGGGGCGTGGGCGTGGCCTTGGATGGAATGAACTGGGCATGGGCGTGGCCTTGGAGGGGATGAACGGGGTGTGGGCGTGGCCTGGGATGGAACGGGCGTGGCATGGGCGTGGCCTGGGGTGGAACCGGCAGGGGCGTGGGCGTGGCCTTGGATGGAATGAACAGGGCATGGGCGTGGCCTTGGATGGGATGAACTGGGGCGTGGGCGTGGCCTGGGATGGGCCGGGCAGGGGTGTGGGCGTGGCCTTGGATGGGACGAGCAGGGGCATGGGAGTGGCCTGGGATGGGCCGGGCAGGGGTGTGGCTGCGGGCATGGGGCGGGGCGGGGGGGAGTGTCATTCTAACAGACACCGGATGACGTGTGGGTGCCAGGTGCTGGGCGGCCAGCCTGGCCTCTGGCCTCCTGGTGCTGTGCCCGCCCCCACGTCCACCCACTTGCTCATCCCTCCAAGCTTATTCAGCATGACTCCTGCAGAAGTCGCTTGGGTACCAGTAGGGCACAGGCGTGGCCCTGGCTGCAGGGGAGCCCACACTCAGGGCGGGTTCCTGGGCTGGGTGTGGGAACTGCTCCCCGGCCCGCAGCCTTCGGTGTCTCAGTAGGGTGGCTTTCAGAAGGAGGGCCTCACTCCACTGGGCTGAAGGGTGCGCCGTGCCATCGTCAGGCCCCTCAGGGAAGGCTTTGTCCTCTGCCCGCTGCCTGTGGGTGACGCATCCCGAGCACCCTGACCCCAGCCCTTCCTAAGTTTTCTCCACTGAACTTGGCCTTTTCCAATGTCTGCAGCGTGTACTCTGTCTGGCATCCCCTCAGCCTCCTCACACCCGGGGAGGCTCTGCAGGGGCAGAAGTGAGGAGGTGACTGTGGAGAGCGCAGGGGTGAGTGGGGACTACTGTGCTCGGGGTATCTGTGCAACAACATTTAAAAAAGGCCTTCAGAGGGTGCTGGGAGGGGCTCCAAGCACCTGGCTGGGAGACAGCAGGTGCAAAGGCCCTGTGGATGCAGAACAAGCCTGCCTCTAAGGAGGCGGGAGATGGGGCAACCAGGGAGAGGCTGAAACCTCTGGCCTTCAGCCTGGAGCATAAACTGAGGATGGTGCTGCTGGCTGCCTTGGTGTAGCGGGCCTGGCGGGGCGGCCTGCCTGGCTGGTGGGAGCCAATGGTTTCTTACGTTAGCAAATGGAGTGACCTGGTCCCCTGCAAGGTGGAAGGTAAAAAGCGTTTTAGGATGAAATTCTTGGGATAAGTGTATTTTTGTGAGGGTCAAGAGGCAGGTGGGGTGCCTGTGCCAGTGGCTGTGCTGAGTCTGAGGGGGCCTGGAAGGAAGGCTGTGCCCTTGCTGGGTCAGCCAGATAAAAATGGCTCTCTCAGGTCAGCAGAGCGATCCTGCATCTGTACATTGATTTATAGGTTTGTGAAACTCATTTCCGAGGACTTAACAGTCCCTTCTTTGGGCACGATAAGCTTTCCTTGCCATTGAGCTCTGCTGATGGGATTGCGGAAGTGTAAATCTTCAGACGTGGACCTTCTAGAGTGTGGATGATGTCTGCGTGGCCGTTCTCACTGCTGGTGGCTCTCCAGTGTGGGATCTGCTTCCCCTGAACACACGCACTCACACACGCATGCACACACACATGTGCACACACACAAATGTTGATTTTCACAATCTTGGAGTAGAAGACCTTGCCATGGTTTTTTAAATTCCCAGTTTCGTTTGGAGTCACACAGGGATCAAGATGATTTAGTTTTCAAAAAACAAAACAAAGCAAGACAGACGGCGCAGCTGGATGGCTGCTGCGTTCCTTCCTCTCTCCCTGCCCCTCCCTTGGTGGCAGCACCCCGCCACTGTGTGTGGCCGTAATAGGCAGGTAGAGAGGGTGTGTCCGTGAGCAAACGGTGATGACAAAACAGTAAACAAAAGATCAAAAGATGTTCCCTGTCCTCCCGGGGACACTGGGACACCGAGGGGAGAGAGTCACACTGAGGAAGAGGCAGGCTGAGGGAAGTGGCCCTCTCTGGTTGGCTTTCTTGGGTTCTGTGACACTTAGAATTAGGTTTGGTTGCAAATACCAGGCCATCCAGTACAGTGGCTTATGGTCCAGAGGTTTCATTCTGTTATCTAACGGAGGTTGGGGGTGGACCCCTGAGGTGGGTCTGGGGGCAGACGAGGATAGTGCCTCCCAGGACCTCTGGGCCTTGGAGCACGGCCCAGAGCTTGCTGGGCTGGGAGAAGAGGGCGCCCGTGACACCCTCCCGAACCTGAGCCCTCACTGACCTGTCTCCATCTTTCTCCCCACAGAAGGGCTCGCAAGGAGGAAGAAGACGTCGCTCTGGTTTGTGGGGTCTCTGCTGCTGGTGTCCGTCCTCATAGTGACCATCGGGCTGGCTGCCACAACCAGGACGGAGAACGTGACCGTGGGGGGCTACTACCCGGGGATCATTGTGAGTGTGCTGAGCCGGTGGCCTGGCTGGGGGGCAGGTGGTGTGTGGTTCTCTCAGGGTGGAGTCTACGCCAGGTCACAGGGCTGGGGCTGAAGGTGGGAGGGCTTCAATCGGTGCTTGTGGTCAGCAGCGTTACGGCCCCCACAGACGTGCACGTCCCAATCCCCAGGACCTGGGACGGAGGCAGGTCCAAGGCAGAGAGGTTTCAGGTTGAGGTCCAGGCTGACCTTAAAACAGGGCCAGGGGCCCTCCATTGTCCGGGCTGACCTGATATGGTCACAGGGTGACCAGGGGGCGAGAGGGGCCAGAGCCTGGTGACGGGAAATGTCCAAGGTGGAGGAGGAGCCAGGAGTCCAGGATGCCCGAAAAGGCCAAACAGAGCCTCCCCAGCACCCCAGAAGGATTTTACCCTGAGGGTCCAGGTCCACTACCCCAGCCCATGGAAGAAACGATTCCTGCCAAGAAGCCATGGATCAAAGATTGTATTAGTGCCACGCTCAGGTGGGAACGACCAGAAGGTGATGGTGCTGGCGTCACCACCCCTCAGACCAGATTTTGGACAGTAAGGCGGCGAGGTAAATTGATGGTAGCCTAATTGGGCCTGGCGAGAACTGGTCACCCAGATCCAAATTACCGAGATTTTTTGAACTATGAAATTACATCCGCTGTCATTAGCAATAAAAATTGCCCTAAGTGCTTGCATTCTGGGACAGTGAACCTCTGTGGAAGTGGCTTGGATCAGCTGTGATGCCCTTCCCATGCCCCGGAGCCCGGCTGCTATGTCATAAACTGCTAAATCAAGACTTTAAAATGTGGCTTCTTCAATCTTGTGACTCTCACCTAAAGTACAGCCAAGACGGATAATATTATTGATGACAATCAGCAAAGACAAAAGATTTTTGGCACTCAGCATTCAGAAATACTTTACAAATGTTGTTTATTTCACCTTTGTTTATATCTTTAGGCTCTGCCTTGTACATCTACGCTATCTACCTGTGTATAGTTCATGAATAAACGTATACAAACAGTATCTGTGCAGAAAAAGTTTTATTGGTAAAATTGCAAGAGGCCAGTGGTGTGAGGACCCTGGTCTCATATGTGAGGGGCTTTCTGCTTCCTGAGCAGAAAGGGGGGCCTGGGAACCCAGAGGGCAGGCGGCTGTGAGGAGGGAACCCCAAGTGATTTGCAAAATATCAGATCAACCCTGAGTGCTGGTTTTGTTTGTTTGTTCTCAAGCTTCACTTGTTTGAGAGTTTCCTCAAAATAACATAATAAAAAAATAAACGGTTAACTGTCGAGCTATGCTCTGTAAAGAATCTACTTTCTGGGTGATGAATTAACACTACACTGACCAGATTGAAATTACCTTTAGCCCAGACAGTTCTGAAAGCCAACTAGAGACAACAAATAAAATTAGCTTTAAGGAAATGTGGCGAAGAGTCACCTCTCTGGAGATTTTTGCCAACGTAGAGACTTTAAGGAAAAAGCTGATCTCAGAAGAAGCGGCCTAGAACATGAAAACATCTCAACATTGTCAAGAAAGGCTCTTTTTTTAAAGTCCCCCAAAAATAAAATGTAGTGAAACAGATATATTTTAATACATGTATGTTGAAGTGAAATTTTGATATTTTTGAACTGTGGAGTTGAGCTGAGGTATTTTGAAGCTCAGCCCATGAAGAAATATTCCTATCCCTGGCGAATTCTCAAACCATTGGTGAAAATCACATGGGTACGTGCCTATCACCACAGACACACAGACACAGTTACAGATAAAGGTGAAACTATTCACATAAAGAAGTCCGGTGTCCACTGCGTTAAACTCCACACCACGGCCCCAGGAGCTCCAAGGCTGTACTGCGCGGGCCACGCCTTCCACCGGACACCCACTGGGAAATGTGACAGGCCGGTGTGGCAGCGTGTGAGCAGCAGCTGCCTTAGACCTCCGCAGAATCGATCCTTGGTGTCGCTATGTTGTCTGCGAGAGACACTTTCGTGGGCTGCTCCAAGCCGCGTTTTCGGTGGGCGTTGCTGAAACGCAAGTTCTTCGCACTGATTTAAAAAATTCATCCACTAGGTGGGCGTCACGTGCCAGGATGGGCCTGTTGTGGAGGGTGTGGGTGCCCGGCCGCTGGCCTCTGTATTTCCCGACATCCCAGCATCATTTTCTACCCAGGGCTGGGGCTTCCTGTGGAGCAAGGGGGCTCTGCCGGAACCCTGGTGACCTGTGCTGCAGTCCAAGGCCCCCCCATGCCTGGCCCAGGCGCCCTTTCCCCACCCTTCTCCAGGGTGCCTCCCTGCTGACAGCCTGCCCTGCTCGCCCTCCCGAAGCAGCAGGCACGGTCAGGCAGTCTCAGCGGGTGTCACAGGTGGCCCTGGGGCCCACGGCTGTAGTTTCCTAATACTTTACCCAGGAGCCGTGCTGAGGGGCATCGCAGACCTGGAGAAGACGGGGCAGATGGTGGTGCGTGGTGGCCCTGGGCCCCCGAGAAGATGCTGTCTCTGGGGGAGGAGCCGGATCCTCTCTTTCCCCACAATCACAAGCCAAACACGCTCATCATTAAATACCTCTGAGCAGAGACGGCAGGACGGTGACGTTGCAGAGACGTCCACCCAACGCCGGCTGGCACACCTCTGCCCAGTGGTTGAGGCTCTGAGGTGGGGACGTCTGGCCTTTGCCCCTGGATAAAATGCTTTTGAGGGCGGGATTGTTTGCTGTTAAATGTCGGTGTTCTGGTGTTAAGCTGCCAAGCACACTAATGAGTGTTTCTCTCTTGTTCTTCGTTGGTTTCAGCTTGGCTTCGGATCCTTCTTGGGAATTATTGGCATCAACTTGGTGGAGAATAGAAGGCAAATGGTAAGAAAGCTCAGCACTCCTTCCAAATGTGGGGTGATGGGGCGCATGAGGCCTCCTCCGGGGATGGTACAGCCATGCTGGAGCTCTGAGAAGAGTCAGCGCCCCCCTACCCCCACTCCCCAAGGCATTGGCATCTACAGGACCAGCTCTGAGGCTCCCCGGGCTGTGGCCCGCCCAGTCCTGGGTGCAGGGCTCAGTGGGCACAATTCACACCTTAGTCTAATTGAGCATTGCCCTGGGTTGCTGCTGCATCAACCTCACATGGTGTGCAGGCACCAACGGTGAGGCCTGGGAAGCTCAGTGAGGGCGTGAAGTTGGGATGGGGGTGGCAAATTAAATCAAGTCCTAGTGTGTAAAGTTCAGGCAAAAATGCATGCATGAGCCTCTCTTCCTTTTGAACCAGCAGCTCTAGAGTCTTCTCTCTCATCTGAGTTTGGTTAATGTTTATCTTGCCCAGACTAAGAGGAGAGGTAAAGACATAAAACCAGGAAGGAGCCCCTGGTTCACGCGGCAGAAATGCAGAGTGAAATCTAGACACCGCCTGTCCATGATGCGAGTGGCTGTCTGCATGGCAGCAGCAAACAGGTCCAACTGGAAGTCTGTTTTGTTTATGCAGCTTTGGGGGCTATAACTTTAAAAACAAAAACTAGTTAATTTTGTGAGTCATGGTGACAGCCAGGATTGAATTTTAAGATCAGGGTTCAGAGGGGAGGTGGCTGGGCCATTTCTGCCTCATCCAGTTGTTGCCTCAGACCAGGCTGGAGTTCCCAGCTCTCCCTGCACTGGTTGTCATCTTATTGTATCATCCCGTGTGCAAATGACCTGCGTTGGGCCCCCAACCCCTGCCTGTTCCTGGCTTCCAGGCCAACAGGGAGGGTGAGATGGCTGGGCCACAGTGTGTGCCCTCGGAGCCCCATGTATTAGTCTGTTTCCATGCTGCTGATAAAGACATACCTAAGGCTGGGTAATTTACAAAAGAAAGAGGTTTAATTGGACTTACAGTGCCACGTGGCTGGGAAAGCCTCACAATTATGGCAGAAGGCGAGGAGGGGCAAGTCACATCTTACATGGAGGGCAGCAGGCAAGAGAGTGAGCGCTTGTTCAGGGGAACTCCCTCTTCTAATAACTGTCAGGTCTCATGAGACTCACTGTCATAAGAACAGCATGGAGAGACCTGCCCCGTGATTCAATTGCCTCCCACCAGGTCCCTCCCACAACACATAAGAATCCAAGGTGAGATTTGGGTAAGGACACAGCCAAACCATATCGCCCCGCACGGGACCCAGCAAACTGCTTCTGCTGCCTAGGAAACTGAACCTTGGGCAGATGGAGCCTGATGGCATGAGGATGGGACGTCCCTGGAGGGCTGTAGGGGTGGCTGCAAAGAGACTGGGATTCTGGTGGAGCAAAGTGTTCTGTTCTGCATTGGATACAGTGTGCACTGCAGGGTGAGATGCCATTCTTGGCCAGCAGTTGCAAAGAGATGGAGAGATAGGCCTGGCATCTCCTCTCCCAGCCACCTCCCATTGTTCGCTCCTGAGGGTGGGCATCACAGCTGACCAAGGTGGGCAAAGGCCTCATGCACACCAGTCTGCAGAATGGTGTTGGAAATAGAGGCCACCTTTGGGAGTCAGCTTGCCCCCGTGATGGTCTCTAGACAGCATCTCTTCGGGGTCTGTGGGGCTGGGTGGGCCTGCAGGGTGCTGGGTGGGCCTGCGGATGGAAGGCCTCCCGAAGACAGAAGCTGGGTGTGAAGCTGGGCTTTGGCAATGCACAGGATAGGTGGGCAGTATGGGTCTATTTCTCTTTCCTTTAAAAAAAAAAGGCTTTAATGAGATATAGTCTGCATTCCGTAAAACTCACCCATATAAAGTGCACAATTCAATGGCTTTTAGTGTATTCACATGTATGTGAACCATCAGCACAGCCCGTGTTAAGAACACGAATCACCTCAGCAAGAAACCCGCCCCCTTCTGTTAGCACCCCACCTACCCAGCCTAAGTGACCAGGAATCAGCTTCCTGTCTCTAGATTCCCACTCTGGGCTTGCGTGTGCGGGAGTAATGTGTAATATGCGTTCTCTGTATCTAGTGTCTGTGCTTGCGTGTGGGGGAGTAGCATGTAATATGTGGTCTCTGTAGATTCCCACTCTGGGCTTGTGTGTGGTGGGAGTAAGGAGTAATTTGCAGTCTCTGTGTCTGGTGTCTGGCACTGTGCATCATGTCTTTAAACTTCTTCCGAATTTCCTTGCTTTCTATAGCTGAGTAATAATCCACTGTATGGACAGGCCACACTTATCCGTTCACCAGGCAATGGGCATTATGGCTGTTTCCACCCTTTGGCTGTTGCGAACAATGATGCTGTGAACGTCTGTGCATAGGTGTCTGTGTGAACATGTGTTTTCATTTCTTTTGGGCATGTACCTAGGAGTGGAATTGCTGGGTCATACAGTAATCCTGTCTAATCATTTGAGGAACTGCTGGACTGTTTTCCAAAGTGGCTGCCCCATGTTACATCCCCACAGGCAGGCATGAGGGCTCCAGCTCCTGCACTCCCTCATCAGCACTTGCTACTGTCTGGTTTTGATTCTAGTCATCCAACGAGTGTTAAATGGTATCTCATCATGGTTTCGATTGCATTTCTCTGATGGTTAGTGATGTTGAGCATCTCTTCATGTGCCTATCGGCCATTTGCATACGTTCTTGGAGAAATGGCTGTTCATTTCCTTTGCTCGTTTTTACATTGGGTTGCCTTTTCCTGTTGAGTTGTCAGTCATTTATGTATTCTAGATACAAGTGCCTTCTCAGATATGTGATTTGCAGATATTTCCTCACATTCTGTAAGTTGCCTTTGCACTTTCCTAGTGGTATCCTTTGAGACACAAAAGTTTTTAATTTTGATGAACTCCAATTAATCTATTTTTTCTTTTGTTGTTTATGCTTTTGGTGTCATATCTGAGAATCCTTTGCAAATCTAAGTACGTGAAGATTTATCCCTAGATTTTTCTAGAAGAGTTTTTATAGTTTTAACTCTTCCATTTGGTTCTGTGATCCACCTTGAATTAACTCTCTCCATGGTCTTAACACCCTTGTTGAAAATTAATTGGCCATAGCTATATGGGTTTATTTGTAGACTTTTAATTATATTCTATTAATCTATAGTCTGTGCTTGCACCAGTACCACACAGTCTTGATTACTGTAACTTCATAGTAAGTTTGAAATAAGGGCCATGAGTCTTCCAGCTTTCTTCTTCTTTTTCAGGATTATTTTGGCAATTCTGAACCCCTTGCAATTCCATATGAATTTTAGAATCAATTGGTCAATTTCTACAAGGAAGCCAGCTGGGATTCTGGTAGGGATGTATTGAATCTGTAGCTCAGTGTAGGGAGGGTTACCATCTTAATGTTAAGTACGCCAATCCATGAACATGGAATGCTTTCCCAGTTACTTAGACCTTCTATAATTTTTAAAAACAATGTTTTGTAGTTTTTAGAGTATAAGTTTTGCATCAAATTTACTTATTCTTCAGTAGTTATTAAATTAAGTACTTACCAAATTAAATTTATTCTTAAGTACTTTATTCTTTTTGAGGCTATTTCAGGTGGAATTGAATTTAACTTTTGGGTTGTCCATTGCAAGCGTTTACAAATACAATTGACTTTGTATGTTGATCTAACATCCTGCAACCCTGCAGAACTTGTTTCTTTGTTCTAGTAGTTTTTAAAAAAATGAATTCTTTAGGATTTTGTATCTACTAGAGCATGTCTTCTACAAATAGAAACACTTGCTTCTTCCTTTCCAGTCTGGATGCAGGGGGACCATTTCTATGGCTTTGGTAAAAGCACATGGGTACTGGAATAACAGGATAAAGACCCAAGAGTGACAGCAACTGCCAGAGCCAAGTGGTGTTCACCTTTCCATGGGCTTTTCCGCACCCAGGTGAGGAGGGCACCCAGATGCCCCAGCCCAGAGCTCTGAGGGGTTGTCTGTGATGCCTGTGCAGGCTAATTTCTGCCTTTTCAGGGGAGGCATTCTTCTGGGCTAATGTTGTGTGGTGAATGCATCTTTTACTATCTCACAGTAATTTAACCTGGGTGCCCATGAGTGCTGTGTGATCTTAGGAAACTTACTGAAGCATTTTCAGCCTCAGTTGCTTCGTTTGCATGGTGGTTGGGAACATTCGAGCCAATGCACATGAGAATATCTTGTCCGTGACAGGTTTCCAGAAGGTAGTGGTCATTGTTATACACCTGTTTTAAGTGCATCGATGTCAGAACATTCAAGTTATTTCAAAAGGCATCAATGGCAGGCTGTGAATGTCAGCTACAGAGAGAATGAGTGTATTTCAAATGCATACAGATACACATGAACACTTTCTTCTCAATTTCTTTTTATTTTTAATTTTTACCACAGAAAACTTTAAGCTCATACAAGCGTGGATAGAATCACATAATGGACCCTCCACGCCCCACCAACTGCATCACTTGTCCTGTTCACTCCCACCTTCTCATGCTGTTTAGAAGCAAGTTCCAGACATGATGTCATTTCATTTGTAAAGATTTCACTCTGTTCACTTAAGGGCTGGAATCCGATCATTAGAAATGGCTTCACCATTATCCCTGCCCATTATCATGTTAGCCTCCAGTGACATCTGAAGAATGCCCCAAATCACATCAGCTTTAGATATTTTTCCACTGATGAATGAGTTACTGTTTGCTCCTTACCCAAACAGGCATATGAATCATTGATTTCAGGAAGAGCTCTGTAACCTGGCACAGTCCCACAGGGATGGGAAAGGGAAGGGCATAAAACAGTGTTAACTGGCAATTCTCCTGTGTCCCATGTACATGCATATGCACAGACACACACATGACACACTCCACACAATGCAAAACACATGCATGCCACACACCACACACACCACACACTACACACCATACACTACACACAACACACATGACACACACCACAACGTACATCACACACACCACACAATACACACTCCACACAACACACACACACTATACACAACACACACAATGCACATGCCATACAATACCACCACATACACTACATGCACCACACATGACACACACCACACATGACACACCACACACCACACACATACTACACACAACACACACAGCACACATGATACACACCACACATAACACACCACATACACTACACACAACACACATGGCACATGATACACACCACACACACAACACACAAACCACACACAACACACAACACGACACACCACACAACACACCACACATCACACACACCACACACTACACACACCACACATACTACACACAACACACAACACACACCAGATATACCACACACACGACACACAACACACAACACACACTACACACACCACACAATACACAATACACACTAAACACAATACATGCCACACACCACATAATACACACCACATATGCTACAAACACACGACACATGCCACACACACTACACACACCACACACGACAAACACCAGATATACCACACACAACACACATGACACACACCACACAAAACACACCATATATACTACATGCCACATACACGACACACACCACATAACACACACTACACATAACACAGACACCACACAATACACAACACAAAACACACATGACACACACATCACACAATACACACCACACAATACACACCACATACACTACACACAACACACATACTACACACACCACACACAGGTCTTTGGTCTGGACCAAGCCTGTTTTCTCCATTGCTCTAAGTGTGGGAGGGTGGAGTCTCGGCCGCCTTCCTTGTGCCCACCCCTGTTAGTTTCTGCTCAGGGCCTCGCTGTCCTGGGAGCCCCACCAGCCTTCCTGGGGCATCCGGCCCTGTGCCTTCTCCTGTGGAAGCTGTGAGGGTCTTTGCCACTTTGGGTGGGGCTGGTGGAGGGTGTGGATTTCTGATATCCCTGGATGGCAGTGCTGCGTGGCTCTGCAGGTCACTGGTGAGGACACTGTGAGTTGCCCAGGGCAAGAGCCCCTGCCAAGGTCCCACGGCCCTGGGTAGGTCCCACAGGGCTGGGTGTGCTGGAGTGGGGGTGTTGGGTGGGCCCCATCCACGTGCCCTGGATCCCACCACCTCACCCACGGCTGGGAAATAACTAGGGAGTGGAGCACAGGCAAAGCGCAGGTACAAGCGGCACACGGGCACAGCTGCCTGTGCCAGGGTGGAGGGCCCGAGGGTGTGGACAGCACAGGGCTAGCCCTGAGCTTGTCAAGAGTTGTGGATGGTATGCGTTCCTGTGGAGGAAGCCTCCGCACAGCTGCACTCTGGCGGGATCGGGGTGGGACGGGCGTGTTCCCGTCTGGCAGCCGGCTGAACAGGAATCTAGTAATTTTGGGCAGGGGTGGAGATGCGAGGGATGGAAAGGGGATATTTAGCTTCAGTGTGTCATTTCCCACCAAGATGAGAGTCTGAACCTGCCTGTGTGTAGCTGGGTCTGCGACAAGCAACAGTATCACCTGCTGTGACGACGTGACCATGATCTTCTGTGGGGCTGCAGCATCTCTCTTGGTG